CTTGCTGAGCAAGAGTTGTTATAGCAAAGGATAGTCAATGAGGCCCAGAAATGTATCAGACGAAGTCGAGTCCCAAGAACCTTGAAGAGCCGAGGAGACTGAGAGCCGAAAAAGCTGAAGGAGCCAAAAACTGAGACCACGAAGAATAGTAAGGAGGCTTATAAAGGGTATAAGAACCGCCCCAGCCGAGGATGTGATAGTTTTTTAGAGGGGTTGAAAATGTAAAAATGGTAATTAAGGTAAAGGGAAATGTGAGAAGGGAAAATGGAAATAAGGGTTTTTAGGGGGGTTAAAAAAAAGGAATTGAAAGGAAAAATAAAAAAGTAGAACGTCTGTGCATGCAAGTGCATTCTAAAATAGGACCAAAAACGGAGATAAAGGGACGAATATCTAATAAGGTTTTTATATGGTTTTAAGGTTTTTTTAGTCACCAAATATTTACACAATATTTCAAAAGCTAGAATTGTATGTTAAGTGACTTTTAATACTGACCGTATTATTAAAGTACAAATAGTCATCTGAACAGTGCAAATGTGATGCATAAATAGTCAGCCTGGCTTGACTGATCGTGAGTGGTGCCACACACAAACTGTAGCGGAAAACTCGCGAAAGAGTAGCAGCAACTGAAGGACAGAGATACAGTAGAAGTGATTCCCAACTAATTCTCTAACACAAGAGACAACGGTGTAGTGGATGGCACGTCACGTCTGGCTGTGAAGAGAAGTGGTTCGATTCCAACCCGATCAAAAATCATTTGCATAAGTAGACTCCGCCTAAGGTAGACACCCAGATCAACTTGATCCACATTCCTGCAGCTGTCAGTTCGCAAAAATCCTTCTAGCCAAAGGCTGATTCCCTGGTACCATTGGCAAACTAGTGTCAGAGTTCTTATCCCAAACCTACTTTTCTATTTAGGTGTTATGCAGGGGATCGTGTTTTGGAGGACACTTGAAAGCTTGTTCACGGACGTAATGATAAAGCTTAAGATCAATATTTTCCAGGTTACTTATTACGGCGTTTATAGCAGAATTTGCTATATTACTTGGTGCTGTGGACAAAATAGCAGAAGTGCTCGATTTCTTTTTCCTGATGTGCTATGCATTTGTGAATCTGGTTTGCACTTTACACTCACTACTGGGTGCACCAAACTGGCGTCCACGTTTTCGCTATTACCACTGGTACTTTTTATTTTTCTGCATAGATGATGTTTGTTGCGCACATAACATTGCTAACATCTACTATACATCCTTGTTGACCACCGCGAACTTATCAACAAGCGTCATATTTCATGTTGCACTTCTGTTTTATAACAGAACTGCTGGCTCAGCGAAACTGAAAGTGTCGCATTTACAACCAGTGTTATGTTAATCCTAATCCTGAAGAAGGTGCCTTGCAGCTCAATGCTGTTTACCTTGCTCTTTTTCTTCTGTTCGTCTTCGAACCACAATTCATTTTCATTTGTGACATTTGGTATCAAGTAGATGAAGCTACATTTGAGCCGGATTGATCCTTGATTTTATTATCGGACACTAGGAATAACGCATGTGCTTCATTCACCTGGCTTTCTCTTCGTCGAACTGGAGCCCACGTAATTCACTCCGGTTGTTTTTATGCTCGTTTTTGCATGTACGCAACTACAAAAACGCACAGTGTTTTTTTGGCCAACCTACTGTGTATGTTTGTGTATATATTTGTGTGTGTGTGTGTGTGTGCATGTGTGTGTGTCCGTCTGTCCCGTTATTTTAACTTGGCAATGAAGCAAGCTTCGACAGTAAAATTTTGTCAGCAGAGGAGGGCTCATCCTGCCCAGGAATGCGGTACCAAGCTTTATGCACGTCTGAGCCCCACGTTCGGGCGTATGAATGCTCCAGCGGGAAAACCGCTAACTCTGGAACCATGAAA